CTTGCACACCCACCCCCAAGTGGAATCCCACTACACTACACTCTCTTCCTTGTGTTTCCCATTTGATCATCATGACTCCTCTCCTCTTCTTTTTCTCATTACTTGAAAGTAAAGTATGATAGTCATTACTTGAAAGAAAGGTATGATGTGAAGATACAACTTCATTCATTTCCAATTATAAGCTGATAGTTACCAAGTTCCCATCCAATAGTCATGGCAACTCTACACAAACTGATAGTTGAAGTTGTCGACGCTCGGAATCTGTCTCCGAAAGACGGCCGCGGCGCATCGAGCCCCTATGTGGTGGTGGACTACCGCGGGCAGCGAAGACGCACCCAAACGAAGCTGAGCGACTTGAATCCTGTGTGGAACGAGTTGCTCGACTTCGATCTTAGCAGGCCTGCTGACGTGTTTGGGGATGTGCTTGAGCTGGATGTATACCATGACAAGAATTACGGCCCCACCACCAGAAACAACTTTCTCGGCAGGATCCGGTTGAGTTCCTCCCAGTTTGTGAAGAAAGGTGAGGAGGCCTTGATTTATTTCCCTTTGCAGAAGAAGAGCTGGTTCACGTGGATTCGCGGCGACATTGGGTTGAAGATTTATTATGTGGATGAGGTCGTGCCACCTCCGTCTCCGCCGCCACCGCCGCCCAAAGCAGAGGAACCAAAGCCTGAAACAGCACAACCTCCGCAGTCAGAGGCGGTACCTCCGCCAGAATCTGCCTCGCCCCAACCTACAGACCAGCCACCAGCTGAAGCGGCGCCACCAAAAGAAGCCGAACAAACACAGCCACCTGAAACCGAGAAGCCTGCTGAAGAGCCGCCAACTGAGGCTGCTCCGCCACCAAAGACCGAGGCTCCTGAAGTAGCAGAATCGGGTCCCTCACCGCCACCTCCACCACCACCAGCCACTGATGATGCAAATCAGGATCAGGCAAACCCACCACCCCCACCAGTAGCACCTGAAGCTGCTCCCATGCCCATGCAACGTGATCATGAAATTGAGGTAATGGCACACTCCGTATCCAAATCAATGGCAGATGTCAAATTCCACCGAACCGACGGTCCACCACCAATGCCGAGACCTCCGGTTGTGCCCGGTGGATCACTCAAGTATACGTCGCAGCTGGAGCCGACGGAAAGCATGTCAATGGACCGGCCGTCATTTGATCTGGTGGAGAAGATGCACTACCTCTTTGTCCGAGTTGTGAAAGCGCGCTTCCTCCCAGCAAATGGCAGCCCAATTGTAAAAATCTCCACCGCCAACTACCACATCACATCCAAGCCCGCCAGAAAAACCCACTGCTTCGAGTGGGACCAGACCTTTGCCTTCGCCCGCCAATCCCCCGACCAGTCCGACGCCTCCATCCTCGAAGTCTCCGTCTGGGACCCACCCGTATTCGACCCCTCAGCGGCCTCCGAGGTGGCCTCCGGCCATCAGTTCCTCGGCGGGATCTGTTTCGACGTGATGGAAATACCCCTGAGGGACCCGCCGGACAGCCCCTTGGCCCCGCAGTGGTACCGGCTCGAGGGCGGTGGGGCCCGCATCAACGGCGATCTTATGCTTGCCACGTGGATGGGCACCCAGGCAGACGATTCATTCCCCGACGCGTGGAAGACAGACACGGCGAAAAATCCAAACGCACGAGCCAAAGTGTACCAGTCTCCGAAGCTCTGGTATCTCCGAGCCACCGTCCTCGAAGCGCAAGACGTTCTGCCCGTAACGGCGTCGTTGAATTTGAAGGAAGCCACTTTACAGGTCAAAGCCCAGCTCGGATTCCAATTCCTCAAGACCGAGCCTACCGTCACCAGAAACGGCGTGCCGTCTTGGAACCAAGACTTGATGTTCGTAGCCGCCGAGCCGTTCAGCGACCACTTAATTTTCACCATAGAGCACCGGCTACCGAAGGGACCGGTCACCTTGGGCGTGCTGCGAATTCCACTCAGCGCCGTCGAACGACGAGTGGACGATCGCAAAGTGGCGTCGCGATGGTTCAGCTTCGAAAATCCAGACGGCGACGAGAAGAGGATGTACAGAGGCAGAATGCACTTGCGCCTTTGCTTCGACGGCGGATATCACGTGATGGACGAGGCGGCGCACGTGTGCAGCGACTACCGCCCAACTGCGAGGCAACTCTGGAAGCCACCGCTCGGCACGGTGGAGCTCGGAGTTATCGGATGCAAGAACTTGATACCGGTCAAGACGGTCAACGGTAAAGGATGCACTGACGCCTACTGCGTGGCCAAGTATGGACCAAAATGGGTACGCACGCGTACCGTATGTGATAGTTTGGAGCCCAAGTGGAACGAGCAGTACACGTTTAAAGTCTACGATCCGTGTACGGTGCTGAGCATTGGCGTTTTTGACAATTCCGGGTCGGGTTTCGAAATCGAGGGCTCGAAAGACGCCACGCGTCCTGACTTCCGTATCGGGAAGCTACGGGTGCGTATATCTACGTTGGCTACGGGTAAAGTGTATAAGAATACGTATCCGCTGCTGGTTTTATCACCCACTGGCTTGAAAAAAATGGGTGAGGTGGAGATCGCGGTACGCTTCGTTCGCGTGAGCCCAACCTTGGATTTGGTCCATGTGTACTCGCAGCCATCGCTGCCGTTGATGCATCACATAAAGCCGCTGGGGCCGGTCCAACAAGATGTGTTGAGGAGAGCAGCGGTGAAGATCGTGGCCGCCCACTTGTCGCGATCTGAACCGCCGCTGGGGCGGGATGTCGTGCTTTACATGCTGGACGCGGATTCACAAGGCTTTAGTATGAGGAAAGTGCGCGCCAATTATTTCCGCATCATCAATGTCGTTGCGGGGGTGATGGATGTCGTTGGGTGGATAAACGACACGCGTTCGTGGAAGAATCCAATGGCCACGATTCTCGTTCACGCTTTGCTGGCGCTGCTTGTGTGGTACCCGGATCTGATAGTCCCCACTTTAGCGTTTTATGTGTTCGTTATTGGTGCTTGGAACTATAGGTTCCGCTCCCGGGCTCCACTTCAGCACTTTGACCCGAAGCTCTCATTGGCGGAGAACGTTGACCGTGACGAGCTGGACGAGGAGTTTGATTCGGTGCCGAGCACCAGATCATTCGAGGTGGTGCGGGCGAGGTACGATAAGCTGCGGATGCTCGGTGCACGTGTGCAGACGGTGTTGGGAGATTTCGCGACTCAAGGGGAGCGGGTGCAGGCTTTGGTGACGTGGCGGGACCCACGTGCGACGGGGATTTTTGTGTTGTTGTGCTTCGTTGTGGCAGTGATACTGTACATGGTGCCATCGAAGATGGTGGCTATGGCGTTTGGGTTCTATTATCTGCGCCATCCGATCTTTCGTGATCGGATGCCGCCGCCGGCTTTGAACTTCATCCGAAGGCTGCCTTCGCTGTCTGATCGACTTTTGTAGGCGCGCATGGATGTTGGGCTAGCTAAGGTTGATAAGGTTTTAAATTTATGAAGTTTTTTTCTTTCTAGTTTTTGTTTGTAATTTTTGGTGTAAGAAATTGGAATTAGGCAAGGAAGAGAAGTAATTAGTAATAAGCATATTGTAATGGTTGTTATGGAATGCATTTTAATACAAGTAGATTTTTTGAAATTATTTTAATATAAGTAAACTTCCTTGGTGGCTTGATTTCTTGCTTGTCTGGGGGCAAGGGGGGGGAGAGAGAGAGAGAGAGAGAGAGAGAGAGAGAGTTGAAGGCTTTTCAAGCTGTTTTGTGCAGCAGCACTCACATATAATTGGGCAAGTCTGATTAGTTGGCATCTCATGATTTTGCCAGGTGTTTTATTTTTTTGGGAGGATTTGTGTTGTCCTAAGAAGGCAATATGTTTGTGTATGATTTTCTAAATAGTAAATATGAAAATATCATACCAGAAATTATTGATGTTAGATTATTTCGTATAACATCAACTGAGTAATTTAAAAGTTGGAACAATAATTAGGAATATGTGCTAATTTGACCAATTTAAGATAGGGATGATTTATATGTGAAACAAACAAGTTTACATTCCTGGAAAAGTCAGCACCTTTCTTAACCCGCTAAGATATAAAATTATCATACCATAATTTTTCAGTCAAATGGCTGCAAACTTTCTATAAAATCCACTTCTTCCATACACATTTTTCAAATCCCAACTTCACGTTTTTCTTGCAACTCTCTCTCTCTCTCTCTCTCTCTCTCTCTCCATTCATCTGAGAAGACGTCGTTGCCTTTTGGGTCTCCATTAGTTTCTGTAAGTTCTGTCTTACTTTTTAGTGAATTTTGTTCCACATGCATGTTCTTTAATGTCTTGTTTGTTTGCTGAGAAAAGAGAAATTTTTAGTTTCCAGAATGATGAAATGCTTCATTGAACTGAGCCTATTGGTGATTCAATTACTCAGCTCTCAGTTTGGTTTCAAGAATTTGGTTCCAAAGGTCAAAAAAAGGGTCAAATTTTTTGTTTTTTTTTTTAATTTTGGACTTTTGGTTGTGCTCTGTTTCTCTGTTTTCCACTTGAAGAAATGTAACTTTTGTTGTTTGTTTTGTAGTTGCTTGAAACTTGGGTTGTGTTTAGCTCTCTATTTTGCTACAAGGGTCTTTTTGATTCCTTTCTCTGGGCCTAATTTTAGCTGCAGGATTATTTTTTAAATTTTATTTATAAATATATTGCAACTTTTCCATTGGTGCTTGAATTCATGAGATACATAAGATGCGCTTTATACTTTTCTTGAAATTTTCTTCATCTTTACACTGTTTCATGTTCTAGTTTTAGAACTCTTTTCTTTTTCAGAATTTTGGTTGAGAATTCTTCTTCATGTGTCTGTACCTCCTACCTGAGTGCCTTTCTAATTGAGGATTACATTCATCTGTAACAATATTTGAACAGGAAATGGCTAGAATTCCCATCTTCTTGATGGGACTTCTTTTCTTATGTTTCTACATAGCCATGGCTGAAGCACAATACATTAATTATAGAGACCCCAAACAGCCATTAAATTCTAGAATCAAGGATTTAGTAAGCCGGATGACTTTGGAGGAAAAGATTGGCCAAATGGTGCAGATAGATCGCAGTGTTGCTTCAGCTGAGGTGATGAAGAAGTACTTCATTGGTAAATATCACCATCATTTTTCTTTTCTCTGTGAACAAAACCTATGTAGATTAAAAAAGAAAAGTGTCACTTCTTCATTTGTATGTAAGTTGGATTTAATGGAAGCAGAAATCTGTTTTGGGCAGGGAGCATATTAAGCGGGGGTGGGAGCGTTCCAGCACAAAAGGCTTCTGCAGAAACTTGGATTAACATGGTCAATGATTTTCAAAAGGGTTCTTTATCAACTCGGCTGGGAATTCCATTGATTTATGGTATTGATGCTGTTCATGGCCACAACAACGTCTACAAGGCAACAATCTTTCCTCACAATATTGGGCTCGGAGCCACCAGGCAAGTAGTATGCCCTCAATATTCAAATTTTGGTTAGTTGTTTTGTAATCCTAGTCTCAAGATGCCATGTTAATGTTTTCTTTTCCTGTCTCTGGTGCTGTAATATTCAAAGCCTGATAGAAGTAAAGTTGTGTAAAGATGGAGATGAGCCAATTCCATATATGAGAAATTTGAGAAATTTGTTTCTTCAACTGCTAGCCTTTAGTCTTCTTAAGAGTTCAAACTATAGAAAATTCAACAAAGAGAAAATTTGTACTAATATAAACTTCCTCAAACTTTAAATCAACCAGGGATCCGGAACTTGTTAAGAGGATCGGAGCTGCAACTGCACTTGAAGCTAGAGCTACAGGCATTCCATATGTCTTTGCCCCTTGTATAGCGGTAACTAGAATTATATCATTAATCTGACAAGTATCAACATAAGTCACTTTAAGCTGAGCTGTGATTCCTCTTAATTCTATCTGTGCAGGTTTGCAGAGATCCAAGATGGGGTCGCTGTTATGAAAGCTACAGTGAAGATCCTAAGATTGTTCAAGCAATGACTGAGATCATTCCTGGCTTACAAGGGGAGATACCAGCTAACTCTAGAAAGGGTGTTCCCTTCGTAGCAGGAAAGTAAGAATTTTAATTCCTTGGTTTTTGACTTAAGTTGTCTATGTTTGTTTAATAAACTATTTTGGTTAAGGTAATTAATTGTACATAATTAGACTTAAACTTTCATGGTATCTGTATTGCAATTTCATTCTATGAAAAATGTAGAAAGAGATTATTTCTCGAAACCAGAAGGACTCTGGAGCCTTAACATGCAAGGCTGTTTTGGCCTAATTATGTCGTAGGTTTGTGAAAAATATTTGTAACCCTGAGTTTTGTCCATCTCAAAATTGATCATCTGATGTTATAGGTTAGTGCTTAATTTTTTTTATAGTTTGCATCGTTTTTGTCATCTCTTATTTGTAACCTCAGTTCCATCCATTTCAGTGTGCTTGGTACATTGGTCATAATGGTCCTATGAAAGTAACATTTTTGTATTCATGTATCTGTTTGTGGACTTATATGAATGGACCATGTTCCACTAACTGTGTAAATCAAAAGTAAAAGTCGAGCACTAAAATAGCAAACAAAAATTAAAAGAGAGAGAGAGAGAGAGAGAGAGAGATTTATCCTGTAGTATGAAGTTTGATTTGGTCCTAGTTTGCTTTTTTGGCCCACATAAATCCAGTACGGCATCCTTGGTTCCTATAGGAATTCCTTCCCTTCCCTTTCCTTTTTCTTTATCTTTCTTTTTATCCTTATCTTTGGAGGAGGGTGGTGTTGGTTATTGAATAAAGTAAGAGATGAAGAGTGCATTTAAGCTCCTTCAGAGAAATATCAGTAGGTACTCTAGGAACTGCAAAGCTAATTTACTGTGGTCGCAAAGGCCACTGTTCTCCCCATATTGTTGCACTCTGATTTGTGCATAAAAGGACTGTTAATATTAGTAATTAGAATTATCAATCACCAAGCGTATTTACAATTCCAGTTCTCGTTACACATTATCTAAAAAATCATTAATAATTTTTTGATTCCAAACAATAAGTTTGTTATTAATTTTACAAGCTATTTTGTTTATAATATTCTGTTATTTCTTTTGGAAGTAAAAAGGTTGCAGCTTGTGCAAAGCATTTTGTGGGTGACGGTGGAACAACCAAAGGCATCAATGAGAATAACACTGTGATTAACAGACACGGCTTGCTCAGCATTCACATGCCAGGCTACTATAACTCAATTATCAAGGGTGTGGCAACCATTATGGTATCCTACTCAAGCTGGAATGGAGTAAAGATGCATGCTAATCATGATCTTGTCACTGCCTTCCTTAAGAATACGCTACGTTTCAGGGTAAAATCATATTTCTGTTTTTATTTCCGTTCTTGGTCCGTTTCACTAATATCAATTTAAAAACTAAAGCATTATTGTACAACCTTGTGGATTGTTTCAGGGTTTTGTCATTTCAGATTGGGAGGGTATTGATAGGATCACCTCTCCACCTCATGCCAACTACTCTTATTCAATTCAGGCAGGAATCAATGCTGGCATTGACATGGTAATAATCTGCATCTCTTTTTGTTGGCATTTTTTTTTTCATTCTTTCTTTCTTTCTTAAATTAAATTGAATAACTTGATGATGTTAGTTAGTTGACTTCTAACACACCTATTTCTCTGCATCTTAAAGGTCATGGTTCCATACAACTATACGGAATTCATTGACGGTTTAACCTTCCTGGTGAAGAATAATATCATTCCCATAAGCAGAATTGATGATGCAGTAAAGAGAATTTTGCGAGTTAAGTTTGTCATGGGCCTATTTGAGGAACCATTCGCTGATATGAGCCTGGTCCACCAGCTTGGCAGTCAGGTAGTTATTGATAAACTTGACACCATTCTACAAGCAATCCTAATGTGGAAAACTTAATCTAGTGTTTTGTATTACTAATTTCACAGGAACATAGAGAACTGGCTAGGGAAGCTGTGAGGAGATCGCTGGTGCTGCTAAAGAATGGTGAATCTGCTGAAAAGCCATTGCTACCCCTTCCCAAGAAGACATCAAAAATACTTGTAGCTGGCAGTCATGCAGATAATCTTGGCTATCAGTGTGGTGGGTGGACTATTGAGTGGCAGGGATTAAGTGGCAACAATCTCACAGAAGGTAAATTGAGAGCCTCATCTTTCGGGTGTGTGAAAGTCATCATTATTTGGAGTTGACCTAATGGTACTGCAGAGAAGAGCTTTTATACCATGATCAAAACCTATTTTAAAAGATAAAAGGATAATGGTCATTGGAAAAAATTACATGTTTTCAATTTGTCTAATTTTTTTGTTTTTTGCAAGGATGATCTATGAATGAAGATTTGAAAACTAGACGGTTCGGATTGTCAAAATAAAATTTCTAGCTCAATAGAAGAGGACTGAATGTTTGCCTATGAGGCCTGGCGGGATTACTAAAATCTTATATGAAACTTTTCTTCAACAAGAAACAATCTCATAGAAGGTGTTTTTGAGTGCCTTATCTTTCTGTTGCTCGAAAAATTGCTCCTCATTATAGTAAAAGATAATGTTAACCTAATGGTACTGCAGAGAAGAGCTTTTATACTATGATCAAAACCTATTTTGAAAAATAAAGGACTGGAGACATGTTTGTCTGAGGCCTGACAGGGACTAATAAAATCTTACATGAAACTGAATTTTTTTTTTTTCAACAGGTACCACAATTCTTACTGCCATAAAGGACACAGTGGATCCAAAAGCACAAGTAGTCTACAAAGAGAATCCTGACGCTGACTTTGTGAAGTCAAATAATTTCTCGTATGCCATTGTTATAGTTGGAGAACATCCATATGCCGAGACATTTGGTGACAGCTTAAATTTGACTATCCCCGACCCTGGCCCGACCACCATCACTAATGTTTGCGGAGCTGTGAAATGTGTTGTTATTGTCATCTCCGGCCGTCCTGTTGTGATCCAACCTTATGTTGTTTCGATTGATGCCCTTGTCGCAGCTTGGCTTCCAGGAACCGAAGGCCAAGGAGTAGCTGATGTTTTATTTGGTGACTATGGTTTCACTGGAAAGCTTTCTCGCACTTGGTTCAAAACAGTCGATCAGCTACCTATGAATGTTGGAGATGCACATTATGACCCTCTCTTCCCATTTGGATTTGGCCTCACTACAACCCCCACCCATTTCAACTAGGTATTCATGTAGTACTCTTCAAAATGGATGGTTATTTATCTGAATAATAAAAGTATTAATTAGAGGCTTATTCATTTATGAGCCTTTAATTTAAATTCGTAAGTAAAGTTTCTCAATGAATCCAATTGGTATTTTTTTCAGACATGCATTCTAGTGAACTAACATTCATTCATAAGTATTCGTATTGCACGAGAAATTATGGTAATGCTTTAGCAATGTTTAACATGACTAGTTCATATGTTGTGAGATACAGGTCATGGATACACTTACATTAAAAGCGTTGGCTCTTCGTCATGCTCGTCAGTGTGCGCTTAGATTACGACTCTCCAATATAGAGATTGAGAGAGATTAAAAGGTTTTGCAAATTGTCAATAAAGATATCCGACTACAGTGGAATATTCGTTCTGTCATCCAGAATATTTGGCATATGATGAACCAAATCTTCACTTTTTGCGTTCGACATATCTTCAGAGAAGAAAATATGGTTGCAGATAATTTCACAGGTCTTGGCCATGTACATGATCATCCGTGCATTTGGTCTTATATTTTTCTAGTACAGTATAAAATAAGTTGTTGTCATGTCATATTATTACTAGCCCCTTCTGACAGACGCTCATATAGCCTTCAACTTGGAGTGATTGGTTGTTGTTTAACTATTTAATTCAGTAATTTATGATTATTATATTTTTTAATACAATCGTTAGTCTAAACTAGAAAGGGAGGGTGTTTCTTACACACACTTCCAACGTGTCATGGGGTTCCTATACGAGTCAAGGTTATATTAGATGTTGCTCTGTTTAGCATTTTGTGAATTAAAGGCGTTTCTTGCTCTCTTTAGTATTACTGCTTATGGTAATTGGAACAATAGAGAGTAGCAGATAATTTATGAGTACATGAATGAAGAAGCAAACAAATTTACGTTCCTAGAAGTCAGTTTTCTGCACCCGCTAAGATAAAAGTATCATATCAAAGCTTTCAATCAATTGACTTGACACCCAACTTCCTTTGAAGGCTTGCTGTGCTTTTAAAATAAGCAGCTTATTTTAAAAATTCTGAATGAAACGGTGTTTGGTAAATCAAGAAAAAGCTGCTTTTTTTCAAGTTCCAATTTTACATTTTTCATGCAACTCTCTCTGCCTCTCACTCTCTTCCTTCAACCGAGCAGAGGTCATTGCCTCTTGGGTCTCTTTTACTTCTCTGTAAGTTCTGAGTTCTTTCTCACTTTCTAGTGTTTCTTGTTCCACATGCAAGTTCTTTAATGCCATGTTTGTTTGCTGAGAAACAAGAAACTTTTAGTTTCCAGAATGATGAAGTCCTCCATTCAACTGAGCCTAGTGGTGATTCAATTACAGAGCTCTCAGTTGGGTTTAATCAGGAAATGGCAACAAACCGTATATAAATTCATAGTCACAATTCTCTTTAAATTTTCCTTTGTTTTCTTAGAAACCAAACAGCTACTATGCATGTGTTCTGTTTCTGACTTGAAGAAATGTAACTTTTTTATTGTCTTTTAGTTGCTTAAAAACTGGGTGCTCTTTAATTCTCTATTTCAATATAAGGGTCCTTTTCATTTCTCTCTTTAAACATAGTAAGATGGTTGCTTAATACTTTTCTTTTCTTTTTCTTTTTTAAAAAAGGTTGACCTTTTACTGTTTCATTTCTGGCTGTAGAGTTTCTACTTTTTCATAATTTTGGTTGATCATTCCTCTTCCTACCTTAAAGTGGCTTTTCTACTTGGGTATTGCGTTCATGTGTAAATATTTTGGGACAGGAAATGGCTAGACTTCCCGTCTTCTTGGCGGGGCTTCTTCTCTTATGTTTCTGCAGCATAGCGATAGCAGAAGCAGAATACATTAAATATAAGGACCCCAAACAACCATTAAATACTAGAATCAAGGATCTGATAAGCCGGATGACTTTGGAGGAAAAGATTGGCCAAATGGTGCAGATAGATCGCCGTGTTGCGTCAGCTGAGGTGATGAAGAAGTACTTCATTGGTAAAACATGACTTCCATTTTTCTTTTCTTTTCTCTATCACTGGAATCAAAAGTCTAATTTTATGTAGGTAAGTTTTGTTTAGGGGAAGAAGAAATTTGTTTTGGGCAGGGAGTATATTAAGTGGGGCTGTGAATGTTAGAGTACAAAAGGCTTCTGCAGAAACTTGGGTTAAACTGGTGAATGATTTTCAAAAGGCTTCTTTATCAACTCGGCTTGGAATTCCATTGATTTATGGTATTGATGCTGTTCATGGCCACAACAATGTCTACAAGGCAACAATCTTTCTCCACAATGTTGGCCTTGGAGCTACCAGGCAAGTAGATATGCCTTCAACCATACTAACATTTCCCTTTTCTTTTCTAATCCTAGTCTCAAAGTCTTGAATATTGATTAAGTTTAGAAAATAAAAAAGTGTTGTCCTAGCATTTAGTTTGGAGAGAGGCAAAAATCAGCGCCAAGTATCAATATATTTCTCAAAATCCAAACTACCATAGTACACATCTGATGCCATTCAATTGAGAAATTTGTTTCTTTAGTCTTCTTAGGAGTTGAAACTATACAGAATTAAAGAAAAAGTAAATTTGTACTAATGTCAATTTCCTCAAACTGAAATCAAGCAGAGACCCTCAACTTGTTAAGAGTATCGGAGGTGCAACGGCACTTGAAGTTAGAGCTACAGGCATTCCACATGTCTTTGCACCATGTATAGCGGTAAATAAATAATTAGTATCCACATAGGTCACTTTAATTTAAGCTGAGCTCTAATTCCTCTCTTCTGTCTGTGTGTGCAGGTTTGCAGAGATCCAAGATGGGGTCGATGTTATGAAAGCTACAGTGAAGATCCCAAGATTGTTCAAGCAATGACCGAGATCATTCCTGGCTTGCAAGGGGAGATACCGGCTAACTCTACAAAGGGCGTTCCCTTCATAGCAGGAAAGTAAGAATTTCATTGGTTTGCTTCATAGTAAAAACATTAGATAGTGCTAAGCTTTCACCTTTCATCAGATAAGGTAATTCTAAATAGATAATTACATACCTTAACATTCAAGGCTTGGTGCATAGAGCTTTTGGCCTAAATATAAGTTAGGGTTGTGCAAAGTTTTTATTATTCAGTAATTTCTGTCAAAGTTTGTGCATCCCTTTTGTTATTTGGAATGGTCCAACATTGCTATCAATGATGCTTGATTGGAGTTTGAAAGGTCTTCTTCTTTTATCCATTTGCCAGGGATTTGAGATTGATACTTTTGCCTTATAGGAATGGTCTTGTGAAGACTTATAGGAATGAGCCATGTGTTCCACTAAATTTGAAAATGAAGAAACAGAAACCGACTATATGTTGGGATAGGATTTCCATCCCATAATGGAGTCAAATATAATTATTTAATGTTAATAATAATGGGTTAGAACATAATGATGGCTGGTGTAAGACATAAAGTAATGGTGGTAGATAATTTAGTCGTATTTCTATTCCTCACATTGAAAGAAGTTCCAAATTCGAATCTTCAATTATTTTTAAAATTAAAAAAGAAAATGCATTAAGCTCTTTCAGAGAAACATCAGTAGGTACTGTATGAAAAAATAGACAAGTCCTAGCCCAACCAAACTTTGGGGTACTAGATAATTTAGTGTTGTTGCACTCTGATTTGTGCCTAAAAGGGACTTTGTTAATTTTAGTAATTAGAATTCATATCACAGAAAAGAATCAACATATGTTTACGGTTTCGGTTCTCGTAACACATTGATCTTACTGAGAAGTTAATCAGTTTGAGATTCGAAACAACAAACTTGTTTCATAGTTAATACTTAATGTTCCATGATTTTCTGTTGGTGGTATGTTATGGCAGTAAAAAGGTTGCAGCTTGTGCAAAGCATTATGTGGCAGATGGTGGAACAAACAACGGCATCAATGAGAATAACACACTGATAAACAAACATGGGTTGCTCAGCATTCACATGCCACCCCACTATGACTCAATTATCGAAGGTGTGGCAACCATTATGGTATCTTACTCAAGCTCGAATGGAGTAAAGATGAATGCTAACCGTGATCTTGTCACCAGCTTCCTTAAGAACACTCTCCGTTTTAGGGTAAATACGCGTTTCTGAGTTTCAATTTCAGCCTTTATCCATTTCACTAAAACTTGGTGGATTGTTTCAGGGGTTTGTCATCTCAGACTGGGAGGGTATTGACAGAATCACCTCTCCACCTCATGCCAACTACTCTTATTCAATTCAGGTAGGAATCAATGCTGACATTGACATGGTAATAATCAACATCTCTGTTTGTTGACCTGTTTTTTTTTTTCCTTTCTTCTTTCTTTCTTGAATTGAAGAACACCTAATTCTCTGCATGTTACAGGTCATGCTTCCATACAACTATACAGAATTCATCGACGGTTTAACCTTCCTGGTAAAAAATAAAATCATTCCCATGAGCAGAATTGATGATGCAGTAAAGAGAATTTTGTGAGTTAAGTTTGTCATGGGACTATTTGAGGAACCGTTGGCTGATCTCAGCCTGGTCAACCAGCTTGGCAGTCAGGTAGCTCTTGATAAACTTGACACAATTCTGCAAGCAATATTAATTCATGCTGGAAACTGATTAATCTTATCCCTTCTGTTAGTGATAATTTCACAGGAACATAGAGAATTGGCTAGGGAAGCTGTGAGGAAATCACTGGTGCTGCTCAAGAATGGTGAATCTGCTGACAAGCCATTGCTACCCCTTCCCAAGAAGGCCTCAAAAATACTTGTAGCTGGAGTGGAGGGTGGACTATGGAGTGGCAGGGTTTAAGCGGCAACAATCTCACACAAGGTAAATTTGAGAGCCTTATCTTTCCGGTGTTTCAAAAGTTGCTCATCATTATTTAAAAAATAATTAAGTTAAATTAATACGGCGCTAACCATTTGTTTGGACTCACTTGACAACGTCATCTCATGACCAGGACTGTTTAGTTATTAGGTCAACATGCAAGGACTGCCCTCAAAAAATTAGGCAATTGGAAATTGGTTCATCATTTGATTATTATTGTGAATATTTTCATTGGTTAAGGACAAATTTGCCTAATTTTTTGTCAGAGCGATCTTTGAATGTTGACCTAAAAAAAGGGTTTTGATCATGAGTAGAGGTGTCAAACGGGACTGGCCGGCCCAGCATGGCACGATCCCTTAAATGAGGCACGGCACAGCCATGGTCCGAGCCCGCTTCAAGCACGGCACGAGCCCAAGCCCGCTTCAAGCACGGCCCAAGCTTGGCCCACTTAACTTTTGTTTTCTTCTCAAATTCAAAATGCAATAATTTGACATCTAATGTCATTCTTTATATGTTTCTTTTAATCATAAACATATATTTGATGTCTTTCATTTTAGGAAAATTACTTGGGTCCTTAATTAATTAAATATATGAACTACAAATTAATTAAACAACATTGGACTTGATATCTAATTAATACATATGACACATACGTTTCTCTTATAATCAAAGCAAGACATTTCTTCACATATAAAATAATAAGCTATTTAAAGATGAAAAGTTGAAGTGGACTTTGTGGAGTTAGACACTTTTTGCCATCCGCTCCTTTATATTGTTTGGATGTTTGATTGATTAAT